AGACAGACCATGGCTGGGGAGCCAATGGGTCAGGCAAGCCCACTGCTCACCCCCCTGCTGCCCCATGGAGCATCCCTTGCTCTTAGACAGTCTGCTGCCACCTGCCTGCCTGGTCCCTGACTGCCTGTGGTCCCCAGCCCCCGACCACCTGCGGCCCCCAGTCCCCGGCCCCCGACTACCTGTGGCCCCAGTCCCCCCAGGGCAGAGGCCCTCAGCCTGCCTTGCCTGTGGGGGCACTGACCGTGACAACGGCTGGGCAGTGGTCCTTCAGGTGCAGCAGCAGGGGCACCATGCTCTGGTACACCTGGGCTCGCAGGCCGCCCAGCTCCCTGCCCTCCATCGCTGCCACCAGGTCCCCGAACAGCGCCATGGCTGCTGCCCGGATTCCATCCCGCTCCTGCAAGACAGGGGGCTCAGAGCGTGGCCAGACCCACCTGGGCGTCCCAACCCTCGTACGACGTGGGACTCTCACCTCATTGTAGGTGGGCTCAGCTTCCTCAGCAGGACCCAGGGCGGGCCGTGCCTCCCCCCTCAGACCGGGCTCCCAGGGCGGGCCTGCCTCCTCCCTCAGACAGGGCAGATCCCAGGCTGTCCTCAGAAACCCAGAACCATTTCATTTCCCATGCCCACAATTCCCTCCTGACAACACAGGCGTCATGAATTAAGTTGGGGGACGGATTTGTCCCCCTAGTTTCACAGTGAAGAAACAAAGCCTTTCTCAACTTAACCGACTGTCACAGCTGAGAAACCTGAGACCTGCCATGTGTGAGTAAGATGCTGTTTGTGCTGGAACCCCTCAGCGGGGACAGACAAGGGGCCGCAGCGCCACCTGGCGGACCCCCGGCCGCTCCTGCCCACCTGCGCAGCCGCCACCTGCGCACCTGCGCAGACCCAGGTAACCCCACCTTCTCTGACCCTGCTCCCCAGGACTTAGTCTTCCGTCTGTGGTTTGAGGGTGGCTGGGGGTCCTCCCTGCCTTCCAGGAGGGAGGACGGAGGAAGACACGAGTTGGGGGCGCCCCCCCCGCCCCCGTCCCGCCGGGAGCGCTCACGTCGTCGAAGAAGGAGCGGGCATTGACGGCGACGCTGAGGCTCTGGGCGCCTGCGCCGAGCGCACCCAGGCGGCGTAGCACGTCTGACACGGTGCCCATGACGCGCACCACGACCGGCTCGCTGTCTTGGAAGAAGCCGTCCAGGAAGGGCAGCAGCTGTCCGCGGAGCAGGCTCCCCTGGGGGCAGGAAGGGGGGTGAGGGTCCCCCCTCCAGCCGCCCCTTCCACGAACCCCATCCCGCCCTGGGCGTCACTTCCCCCCCATCCCTGCCCCACCTGCCACCACCAGGGCTGGGGGGCTTCCACAGCTCTGCCCCCGGTGGGGAACCATGCTTCCCACCTGGACAACTAGGCGAGCTTGCGGGGAGCAAGATACAGAGCCGGCTCCCACCCCCTCTGCCCACCAGGAGCTGTGTCGCCGTGGACAAGGTGGTCCCCTCTCTGAGACACATGAGTCCCAGATGGCCCCTCACCAAATCCTGGGAACCATCTCTTCCACTCCTCCACCCCCACCTGGCCTCACCCCATCCCTGCCTCTCCCCAGCACTGGCGGGGGAGCTCGTTGTGGGGCAGGTGGAACCTGGGATTGGACAAGACAAAGACGGGCCAGCTGTGCTCATGTTAAAGTCACTGCTTTCAGCTGGGGGGGACTTTTGTGTGCACCCTGCAGTGGCTTCAGACATTTTATGTTGCCAATGACCTACGTTCCATTTTGACATTCTTTTTAAAGCACCTGAATTCATTTTCAGCCAATTACACCTGCCCCGCTCGTCTGCATCCCTAAATTCTCTAGATGGACTGCCGGCAAGCAGGGTGTTGACAAATGATGTTTCCTGGCACCAGGCTCCTTTTCAGTGACGTTTGTGCAAACCGGAGTGATTGTTACAGCTTTTCAACAAGTTTCAAGTAAGTCTGCTCTCTGAGCTATGTTTGGTGGTAAGGTATTAAATTCATTTCCAGCAAGTGAATCGTTCAACAGCAACAGGCACTTACTGAGCACCTAGTGGGTACAGGCTGTGTGTCAGGACCGGGCTTCCGGTGA